TCTCTTTCCTTCATAAAAATATCTAATACTGCAAAAAGGTCAGGAAGAGGGAAAGACAAATATGCAAATAACCCAACAGTTAAGACACAATCAAGAACAAGATGAGAACAGCATTTGCAAAAAAAAAAAAAAAAATCTGGATGTTCTTAGTACTCTAGAAGATCTCCAGAACTTCCATAGTTGAGGATTTCTAAGCAAGGAAGTGCTTCAGAAAGGAAGAAAAATCAACAATTGATAATTTAAAGTTTAGTTTACTAGAGAATTTATACACTTTGGAGAACAGAATTAAATGACAGCTAGTTCACAGAAGACATCACTCCAAAGCGTCCATGGAACAGATCATTCTTTGACTGTTTCAAAGTGTAAATACATTTTGAGAAAGACTAACTAGAAATGAATACTATCCAACCATTTTGTTTTTAATCTTATCAAGGAGGCTACGTATAGTAAGAAAGTATCTGTGGCTCTCTTGGTCCCTGATGCACATGCCTTTGTGCTCCAAAAGGAAGGAAGTTCAAATCAGTTTCCATACCTGTCTTTCCAGTAGCATGACATAAAAAGCTAATATGAACGCAAAACAGTAACATGCCTCAAAACTTCCCAGAAGTACCACCTTTAAGTGGCTCTGCATCATCCAGCTATCAGTCTCTCGAAGCAGAAGTATCAGCCAGTCAAGTTATCAAGGTACGGTTCACTTTGTGGTCATTCAAAACGCAGAGTGGAAATCAGACTATGAAAGCATCCCAACTGTGACACGCAATCTTGGGAAGCCACAAAGCTTGACCAGCAGCTGGGTCAGACAGAAACAAGGGGAAGCTTTTATCTCTACATTAAATTGTCCATCACTTCTCTCCAAGATTTTTCATCATGGAATGGATAAAGAAACTCTTAAAGCAGCAATCTTATCATGGGCGTACTGCTCCATCACTAGCACCTCTCATTCATTGGCCTTTAACATTCAGTGCCAAGAGAAAACCGCAAAACACCTTAATCACGGTTATCTTGATACCTAAGACCATTTAAAAATTTCAATCAAGTCCAGATTGACCTGAAGCTATGAAATCACCACTTCTCCCCGTTCTTCGCAACCTTCTGTTAAAAAAACAAAGCTTTCTAAAAAGCTTCGCTACCACAAAAACAGCCTGCAAGATAAAGCAACCAATGGATCCTTAAGAAGCAGAATCTCTCTGGTTAGTTTTCCCTAACCGGAGATGTTTTCTTCTCTTCTTTCCCACTAAAAGCCGAAGGCCCAATGAAAGTGGCCATGTCCCATTACAGGTAACAGCCTCTACTACAGCAAGAAAATACAACAACTCGGGCTATTTAAGCAGATAAAACAATTCACCTCCTTAGTGTGCTGCCATTTACAGTTGAAAAAGGATAGCGTGTATACATTCCCTACACAGTAGTCTGAAATATCCTAGGATAGCACTCACTCTCATTCCCTGTTCCTATCCATGTGGCATCTCAATTTTAGTCAGTTTTCCCACTCCCTCATTTACTGTAAGTCAAGTACCTCTGCCACCCCCTCCCCAAAAAGCCAGAAAAGAATTATTTCAGGGTGAGAAAATCCAAAACAAATCTTCCCCTCTCCCTCTATGTACAAACAAAGCAAGAAAAACTTGTCAGTCAATTGTTTGCACAGCTTCAGAGAAAGTAAATATATGAAGAACGTCATGCTCTGGACAGTATTAGCAACTTCCTCCATCTTCTGCCAGGCTGCACACTGTCTACATAACTCAAGCAACTCCAAAATCTCTCACCTTTTACAAACCCTGAAGCTGGAATTCTCTTCATCAAGCTACTACTACTGGCTTGGGAACTGGTGGTCTTTCACGTTTACACAATCCCAGCTGACAATCCCAGCTATTTTTGCACGCACACAGTACTGTGCACTGGAAAATAAGTATTTCAGTTCCAGGTTCTACTTACTGGCAAGTAGGTCTGCTTACTTTAAGCTAACACATTTTAAAAGCATTTGAGGTGTCTCACACAATACAAGTATCCCTTTTAAAGGGTTATATTTAGAGATGAAGCAATTGCAGTGACTCAAAGCAGACTGTACAGCAAAATACTGAATGGGAAACTTCCACAGTATTTCAACACAACCCAGTTAATTTCCTTAGTTAAACCTACTATTCCAGTCACTACTCTGAGATTGCCAATCACACAAGACAGAACAGTTCAACACTAACTACACAATCATATTTTGATTGCCTCCACAAATTTTAATTCCACTACCAGTAAGACTGCATTCTCCAGATCCTGAAATGGCACAGGATATTACTTGCCTGCACACTTTTAAAAACAAACAAACAAATCTATACACACACACACGGAAAATAGCAGCTTTAAAAAAAGCGCATAGGCTTCCCATAACAATCACTTCCTCCAAAGACGTGGCAAGAGTCTGCTTTAGGTTGAAGCAGAAACCAGATACAGACACTTGCTGACTGACAACTAGATTCTCCTTTGGTGTCATCAGGCTCTCCAGATTTCCAGTTCTTATAGCCCTGGGTGAAACTTCAACATGTGAACATCACATTTCTCAGAGAATCCGTCTAAATCCGCACCAAACCCAGAAAAAAAAAAAACTAATAAAAATATAACTAGTCACTGTTTTGGGGGAGCTCACTTTAATGACCCAAATTATGACCATTTGGGTGTTGGAATAATTAACCTTTTTATCACTGTGCAAAGAACGTAGCGCAAGCATGTGTCTCCCTCAAATGCCAGCACATGGTGGGAGGGCAGTCATTCCTCCATTTCCAAGGACATGATGCACCACAACTACCTACAATTCTTCCCTATACCAGACAGTGAAATCCTAACACGCACCTCCAACAGGTGTGTGCCTAAGACGTTTTTCCCAAATGTTCACAACTACTTTGTAGAGCTTTATATACTTACAGTAGCTATAAAGCTACTAGAGGCTGTTCAGAGAGTCAGGGAGATACTATTCTAACTAGCTCACATTTGCAAGTTCTCCTCAAAAACCATAAGACTACAAACTTTCTTTGAAACATATTCAAACACTTGGATTCTATCGAAGCCTGTATCCAAAGCATACTGTCACATCTACATTTTAAAGTGGTCATCTCCCGAGTGCATCCAATTATTAGGAGCGCAGCACAATTACACAAAACAGCCTGTTGCAAGTTACCATTAATTTTGACTTCCAAAAGGAGCTTGAACTACACTGGCAGTAGAACTGACAGGAACATTATCTCTACCGAGGCCAATTTTTGATTTCAACTCTTGTCTTCACTACATCTTCTAATAAGCCCTCCAGCACAGAATGACACACAAGACAGTCATCTCAGGAGCAGAGACACACATACTGTAACTTAAGAGTTACTTGAGGTATACTCACTTAAAGGCTGCATTTACACAGTGATCTTCTGTATCATACTGTAACTCATGAGAATGACTGCACAAAAGTTACTACTAAAGTAATGATACATCTTTGCAGGTGAAAGACACCAGAGATGATCATTTCTTTTGCGGGCAGAATGTCCTTTACGATGATACAACAAAACTTCAAAGGTCAGTAGGATTTAGACCCCGTTTATACATTTCATCTTATCAGAGGTAACAAATAAGTGCCTGGTCTTCAGGTATGGCTCAAGTGGACTGCATACAATGCTACATTGAAAGATTATTTAATAAAACTTGAGAGTTTAAAGCACTCTGTCACTGTTACAGAACTGAAATTACCAGGTTCCATATCAATCATGGAGAGACAGCTACCCTGTCTACTGCGTTATCACTGTCTGGTATTATGTGCAGTGATGATGGAAATATGGACTGAGTTTAACCCTAACTCCAGGCAGTAGGCCTAAAATGACAACTGGCTTACACAGCTACAGAAACACACACTAGGGCAGGCTAGACTCAAAACACTTCCTAACGTGCCAGGACGTGGTGAATTCTAACATAAATTTAGCGTTACAGAACAAGTATAGGTAATACTACTACAACGTCATACATTAAAATTTAATTAATTTCGTTACACTGATGCAAACCAATCTTTCACCTTTTTGCATTTTGTATTGCCTACAAACATTTAAAAAAAAAAAAAAAAAAGACTTTTTAACTTGTCACGCTTACCCTCGGTGGCCCAATAATCATGCCTGTCCATCTGGTGAGTGTCATATCTTCATCATCTTCAAGGCCCCAGCTTACTGTACCATCACCTACTCCTTTCTGACCTTCTTCAAGCTCTTCCAACAAGCGAAAATTACGAGGTACTTTAACTAGAGGAAAAAAAAATTGAAGAATGTAATTAATATTCATACTACAAATATTAATTCACTATTAATGGTCACTATCGTGAACATATACTATGGTCATAATAAGAAAAAAGGTAAATGATTTAATTGCTTTTATATTTTATGCATTAACAATTACTGAATATATTTTCAAAGCTTAACAAAAAAATATCCTAGGTGAACTCGTACAGCACTCAAATTGTTTTGAAGCAACTAACCACTCCACTAGAAGCTAATTATCACCAACTGATAGGAACACAAACTATAAAAGAGAAAATAAGAAAGCTCTCTTTAGTTTACGATTGCTTAAATCAGATCTTCCTCCTTCTCAAGTATAGCACTGTTTAGAGCCAATACATCTCAAAAATCAATTCACTGCCAAATTCTATCTACTCAGCTGGAATCCAGATTAAATCGACATGGCAAATTCCTTCCAAAAGTACTTAAGATCATTTGTGTTAAATATTGCATTCTTTAAGATATGTAAACTGTAAGATAAAGACTAAAATCATTTTCACTTCATCTAGTTTGATTTGGAAATCAATGAAATAAGAGACTTGAGTATCTGAAAACAAATTAGTCTTTTGTTAAGTGTGAGTAATAATCATTAGATAAAAAAACATGAAGCACAGAAACACTACGTAACTTCTTAAAGAAAGATAATGATGCTCACAACAGAATATGAAGACATACTAGTTCTAAAGAGCATCAAGGAATATTCACTTACTAAACTGATATTACTGAATTTTGATTATTATACATAAAGACAGAGAGGCACCGACAGGTAGAAAATAAGGGGAAGTTTAATTGCTTTACCTCACAGAATATAAAATGGTATTTCAGCATTAGCGTAGGGAAGAACGATAACTATCACTTACGCATGTGATCATGACACCTTTGTTTTCAAGTATAAAATACACAATGATGTAGTACCAATATTATGATACAACAAAACTTCAGTTTTTTTATGGTTACTTATCAACTCTTCCATGATTTTTACTAGGGAGTTTTAATTCTCCTGGAAGAAACCAGGTAGCTGTAGAACTAAAACGTTAAGACTGGGGTACATTCAAAATTCTTAGCAAGGAACACATACCATGCTAGTTCGAAAAAGATGGGGGTCATAGAAAATCGCTCATCATATCAGTTCTTTAGCTGCTGAGGATCTAAGTTGGACACTCCCATAGCCTGCATTCCAAGCTGTCTATGCAAAGAATTAACACTAAAAGTGTATAATTCGAATAGTCAGTCAATATGTACCTATATGGTAAGCACGGATAAGCATACTCTTCAGCAACTACTTAAATAACTTACCTTGCATAATTACGGTTTCTCTTAATTGTGTTTTGAATAATTATTTTTATAATACAGATTGAGGAGCGGCTCCTAAAAATTTTAGGAACCAAAAAAAAAAAAAATCTCCAAGCACTAACTGCCCAAATTCCCAGGGAAAAAAAAGTTGAAGAAGAAAACATTAAGAGTAGACATCAGGACAGTAAAAGGACATTAAGTCACTGGTGTCATCTCACCTGCTCTCTTATGTTGGTATTACTGTTCATCTGAGCCCACAATAAGCTACTTCAGCTTGCTGACTGAGCAGAAAATTATACATTTGGGCTAGTCTCCCCAGAGTTTGTTAAACTGACCCAGCTCTGAGAGCTCAGACAAGTACCAGCAAACACTCAGATTACCTTGATGTGAAACTACATTTTAAGAAGGTTCGACTACTCTCAAAGCTTATTTACGCAGATAAGAGTTCACATACAGTTACCCGGCTGCATTAGCACAAACAAGGACCAAGAACTGTTTTACTATAAAATTATTTTTTTTAATTGGCTTCTCTTTGTGAGAAAATGCTTGAGCATCTCCAGTAAACCAAGAACACAGCCTCCAAACACACAATTACAAAAGCATTTGGAAGCCTGTGTGACATCTCTACGTGCTTTTCTTAATGCCTCTCAATTTGGTTTTACAATGCAGACCATTTCTCTATACTTTTAGCACACATCCTTTTAGAACATCTGATTGAAATAATCTGTTCATTCCCACAGTCCCATCCTGACTGTTAGTATTAGTGCACTGCACTCACCCAGTTCAGGTGAAGTATGAGAACAGACATTCACGTTTCTGTCACACTATTACATAAGAGTATGAAGTTTTTACTTTTGTTCCAGATTCATACTGACACGGAGTTTGCCAGTAAAATGTTAATGCTAACCTTTCCCCTCCCCCCCCAACATTTTTAAACCCAGCAGGATCAACTTACACTAGACTGCTGTTTTGTGTCGCTTGACTGAACAGCTTCTGACTGGTACGTGGAGACCCAAAACAACATACCTTTGCATCCAATCATTATCTCAGACCTCTCCTGTGGCTTCAATCCACCATTTCTCAGAATTTTGCTCCGAGGGCAAAATTCCCAATTTAAAGTTTACCTCTTAAAGCAGCACATGAAAGATGCAAGCAAACAGGCTTTAAGTTTAGTTCTGATCTGTGCTATCACCTTTCAGTGCAGCTGAGATGACCCAACTGTTCGTTGCAGAAGAGGTCCCATTCCTTCCCCGCAAAGCACACTTGCTCAGGCACTTACTGGGCTCTTCCTTCAGCTGAATTAGCACGCTAATCTAGCAAAAAGCTGCTCCTTCTTTAGGCAAAAGTCGAATCTAATCAGTTAATGAACTGAACTGACTCAGGAAGAAGGATCAACAAATGCAAGAGCTCACTGGCAGTGTCTTTAAACGTGTTCTTTCGTGAAAACATGGAGCGTGGGGATGAGGGAACTTTTCTGCGCCTGAAAGCCATCCGACTGGCTCAGTTGTATCAAAAACCTGTACTCAACACAAAACCACAGGATATAACAGTTATGAGAAAGTAACAAACTTATGACTGTCCTATGTTTATCACCTTTTTTCGCACCAAGTAGTCTGTGCTCACTGTTCCCCCTAGGGTAGAATATAGAACTTCAGAGCAGTGAAGGACTTGGGAAGCCTCCCGAACATCTCCAGTAAACAACAGACCTTCTCTACAAAAAGCTGAAAACATCCAAGTGTAAGAGCGCCATGCTACCTGCACTCACGCTCCAATCAGCACTAGAGCCAGGTAGCAAAACACTGCTGTGAAGCTAAAAATGAGTCAAAATATCTAGGCGGAAAAAAATAAAAACAAAAACCTATATAGAGATTCCAACCAATTACAAAAAAAAAAAAGCTTGCAAAGTCGCAGGAAAAAAGATGTTACAAGATCTTCGCTAAAATTGGATCAAAAATACATTAAGAAAGGTTCTCTCTGAGAAAGTTACAAGTCCATCAACATTTGAGTTGAACACACTATAAATGACAGGTTAAACTAAAATAAGACCACTGTTTCACAAGAGCGCTTCTGTATTTAAGTTATTTACTTTTGCAGAGAGATTCTATTTCCTTTACTTACACGTTCACAGGAAGTACACAAGACTTTTCTACCTATCTACCCAATCCTGTATTTAAGATCTAGACAACAACCTCCTCTTATATTTCCAAAGAGAGGCCCTAATTTGTCAACTGACAGCAGAGGAGGAGAACAACAAGCTGTGCACATATAAATTATGAACGTCTACTAGAGCTTTATGCAACAAAGAATTAACAGGTCTTTATTCTCTACCTTGCAAAAACCACTAAACTACTTATTTGTCTCTGAAATACATGATTAATGTTTTATCCTCAATACCTCAAACTTGTATTAAAAGTTACTACTGAACGTTTTATTACAAGACTACCGTGGATATATTTGTGACAAGGGACATCCAAATCTTTTAGACTTAACACAGTGGGTTAACAAAAAAAAAAAAAAAATTGGCTTTACAGTGACTGTCTTAGAAACTTGACCAGCAAAATGAACTGGAATTAAATGCTACTTCCCTCTTAAGAGTCCACTAGCACACAGTATTGCGTTCTATAATGTTTGCTTTGGTCATGCTTTACAGAAAATAAATCCACTTAGTTTGAAGAACAGAATACGTGTACCAGATTGCGCTTTCTCTCCAGGAAAACAACAGCAAGATTAGGTAATGACGGTCTAAATCTTTTGGAAACTAAACTTCTCCCTAATATGAAGTAGTTCTTATCTCTGTCACCACTTCACATATTCCAGAGAGCATAATCTAAATTGTATATTAACGGTGTATACACAATTTGCAGTTTTGTCTCCAATTCAGAAAATACAATTCATCAAACATTCATCAAGAACTCTGAAGTATTCCTAAAGGAACAAAGAATAAAAATCAGCATTTCATTTACAGAATTTGGGCAATAAAACAAAATCCTTGCGTTCCAGTTAAACAACCCAGCAACAGGTATGCCTGAAGCACACCTTTCTGCCCACCCTTTGCAGCTGATCAGCAATAGCAAAATTAGAGAAATAACCCCCCATTTTCAATTGAGGATCAGACCAAGCTGGGGCAACTGAAGATAGAGATGCCTCTAGCTACTCATTACCGTGGACCAGCCAAATATTACTTTTCCCAACTCTGCCTGTTGAAGGGACCACTGACTGACTTCAGGAAAGAGCACACAGGTTGTTTTTACTCCCCTTAACACCCACCCCTCAGTTAAACCTTCTCACTTCCAAATGAAGGAGATTAAAGCTGCCATGCGATTTTATCACCAGCAAAGCTGTAGGAAGAGCAATCTCCAGTCAGTAGGCTGTGATTAATGGCTAGGTACAGCACTACACCCAACACAGCTATTCGCAAAGACTGACTAAGGCTCCCCTTGTGAAAATATAGCTGGCTTCATCAAGATTAAAAAACAAAAACAAACAAAACACCTCCTTCCAGTTCACCTGCAAAGTTTACCTCACTATGGCTTTTACTGCCCAATTACATCCTGACTCCAAAAAAATCACGCATATAAATTGTTAACAAAGTACATAACAAGTTTTCAAAGATAGTTGAAGCAAAAACATTTCACGTTCTCAAAAGAGGCCACTCATGCTCAAAATATACCAAT